GGTGTTTCATTATCTGCAATGGAGACTAACCTTTGGGAGATGGAAAGTTGCCTCTCTGGTGCTACCAACAGAAGTTGGTATACTTGTATCCTCCCAGTTTACTTCCTGTACATTGGAGGTGGAGGTCTTGTCATGTGTGTTGCATATTATTACTATTATTTCAACTGCTATTAAAAAAAACCCTGAGCAATAACTTCTTTTTAGCAGTGTGTATGATAGTGGTTTCTGAAGCCTTAACGTATAGACTGCAAAACTGGTTCACACAGGCCGGTCCAAGTATTGTCAGGAAACCTGAGTCATACTGAAACTCTGAGCTTATCGCTTCACCACAGCTCCCTCGGCCTCTCTCACTCCTGGCCCACAAAAACCTCTGTGTCTTTAACGTATGCATGCAGGCGCTACTTCAAAAGCCATATTTGCTTGTCTTTAGTAATCTCCTCCACAAAACAATATGGCCATCGTGTGGCTTCAAAGCATTGTATTGTATTCTGCAATCCCCACAAGTTGCCTTAATCTTAAAAGCAATATATCATAAATATATAAATGTAGTAAAAACCTGTTTGTTTGATGGTGTTGAGACATTTGGGCTTTTAGCATCTTCAGTATTTTATGCTATGTAAAAATTATTGCCACACCATCCTCTGACAAACTGAGTGACTTTTGATATGTCATGTAAGTTCTAATGTGGCTCAGTTTGCCATGTAAATTTGGATAAGAGCACTCGCAAGATGCCAAAATATGAATGTATTCGTATTGAGTTTTAAGAGTTTAAACAAGAATAACAAATGAGCAGGTTAATGCAGTGTTTACCCTCTGACAGACTGACCACTCACCATCCTGCAACCCTGAATTATTATCATTATAAGCTTTTCTGTATTTATTTATGTAATGGCATGTATGCTATTGCTAATTGTTGAAGAGGGGAAAAAAGTCTGAAGAATAAAATCCAGGGGCCGTCAAACATTTGTGCTCAGGGGGTCTGTAGGTGATGATCTGCATGTTGAAGGTAACTGAAGTGCAAATGAGTGCGTAAGGACAGGAACTTGATACAGGAAGCATGATGATGGTGATCAGTCAAAGCAACAACTCATTTACACCTGCAAAAAAAACAACAACCTCTACGTGTGTCACTGGTGATTATTGTGTCACACAGTGGTTTACAGTGAAATCTCAAAGTGCGTCAAGATGACATCCGGTTTCTTAAAGTTTACATTAAACTTTAAGAAACTTTTGATTATTACTGTACTGCTACCACAGCATTGAAGGTATTTGACAAACTGAATATGTGATTTTTAAAAAGTCCAAAAGTCCAATTGTTTAATTCTGTTATACAACACAGTACGCTTTAAAACATTTCAGCTTTAATTTCAAAGTTTGAAACATTAAACATGAACTTTAAAACATTAAAATAACATGTAGTCATACAAAACAGATAGCAAAGCAACACTGATTTGTATACAGCAGCTTCTGCTTTAATTTGTATTGTGAAATAATAATAATAACATTAATAACAATACATTACTCCTTAATGTGCATCACCCCTCTTCAGACATTTAAATAAATAGTATGCATGTTAAATTTTAACATGTTAGAGATCGTAAATTGAATTCTCTGTTTGCATGAAGACTTCGTATGGCTCAATCTGTTCTGCTTGCTGCAAAAGAAAACACGAAGTCAAAGTGAAGCCAAAGTAAAGTAAAATGCACATTATGAAAAAGTTCAACGTGCAACATTTTACCGTGTACAGTTCTGTGTTTTCAAAGATGGTTATAGGCGCATCTCGCCTTCTGTTGGACAAATAACATGAAAACATGGGGATTGAAACTTCTGTATTTGGCACTCAGATAAAACAAATGTTTTGTGCATTATGTTATATTTACTTATGTCAGATGTGCATGGATTTTTTT